GCTGAAGAGTTTCTTTCCAAACATAAGTATACAGTTATAGCAATGTCCAGAGGCACCAGTTTAGGTATTGACTTGTTGCAGTGCTCTGCACACACACAAGAAAAAGACCATTCCACTGTTAAAAAATCTGCAAGGCATGTAAGTTTAAATACATGACTCAATCAAAACTGAGAAAAAGGAAGTGCAAAAAGAACAGGGATGGTAATCTCAGATTACACAATTACACTGACTAGATTGTGTTTAAATAAGTGCCACATTGGTTTTATCCAGCTTCTTTCAGCCCAGCTGTAGGATGATAGCAATTATTTAAATTATCTGCATCACATAATATTGGATGCCAGATCTCCTCTTGGTTGTTGGATTTTTTCAGGTTGTTGACAGAATTTGCAGCGCAGAGTGAAGGACCGAGAACAAGAAGCATTCATCAAGCCCCTAAATTTTTCCTGCAGACTTTGTATGTTCATCTGTTACACAGATCTGTACACAGTTGCTGCATGCACAAAAGGCTTGAGTGTTTATGAATCAGGTCTTTGAAAACACACAATCTGGCAAATAATTCCAAAACTACTCTTCTATTAATAACCTAATCTTTGTTTTGTATCTCCCATGGACTGTAAGAGGCCACAGATGAAATTTAGCTCTATGCAACAGAGCGAAGGTCAACCAAAGATTCCAAGACCCCAAATATTTTTCGGGAAGAAAGATTACTAAACTTAAAAACAAAGATAAAAGCTGATTCTTTTAAGTGGATCATGAAGTACTTAACAGTTGATCATCTTGTGATCCTCAGCAGCAAGTACTATTTCTATAATCACTATATTTTTGAAAAACAGTTTGCTAAACAAAGGACCAAATCTGAAAGGGGAGGAAAAATGAAGGTTTATTCTGCCCTAAGTTACTGGACATAAATATTATAAGGCTATATAACTCTTAGATGAACAGTACATTTATAAGCGTGTGGTTCACACCACTTTTGAACTAAGCAATCACTTCACCACTGCTGCATGGGGGAAGTCATCTTTCCTCTCCTTCCTCCCCTCCCGTAGTCACATGGGCTGCCTCTGCAGGTTCTTGCAGATCACAAGGTGAGCACGTTCTGTTGACTAAGCCAGAGAGGGCAAGGGGAAATTGCCATTTTGCTGAATTACTTTTCTACTGTTTTACTGGACTGCATTGGCTTACATCAGAAGCGCAACAGTGACAGAAAACTTGAGCCAGGCCAACCAACCTTCCGTTTGTTGTCCAGCAGTGGAAAGTTGTTAATTAAACTTGTTTCAGAACATTAAATCTATCCTAAGGAGCATTCACTTCAGTTTGGTAGCAAACACATTAAACCACAAAATATTTATGCATTGGAAGGACACTACTTAGGTTTGAACTTACACTGTACTGTGTTTGTAACAGGCTTTGTGATCAACCTGAGTTAGTGGAAACAGACATATGCATAACTTTGAGAAATTATTGCTATTATGGTTCTCTTTTGTAGTCACAACAATGTTACACACAGTTCTTAAGAACTAAAATGCAAAATCAAACATTTGAGAAGCGAACTAGTAAAAGTGGTGGCTTCCATTCCTGTAAAAGTATACATCTGGGGAAAAAATTTAGTTTTGTTTGTGAATGACAGAAGTAGCTCACTTCCCAACGTTCAGCCCAACAAATTCTAATAGATTGCATAATTATTAACAATCCAATTACCTGCCCATTAATTCCCAAATTCCAGAAAACCTTAATTGCTTCATGGATTACATACTCACTCGTTTATGGAATGATAGAGTTTTGCAATGCCCTGATGAGTCCAGTCTTTGCCAAGGTGAGGGAGGATGTGTCCTAAAGCATCAGACCTAAAAGCAAAATCAGATAGCTGATACTAAGTATATGAGTTTTGTTAAAGACAACCATTAATGAATATAGTGAGTATTTACAGAAATATCTCTGCAGAATGTCCTAACCATTTCAAAAGAGAATTAGTAACTACTCCAGGCAGAGCAATTGCTGGGGCCATACAGCACAAGTCAGTTTCCAAATTAACCTATGGCTGCTAAACCTGGAGAAGTCTAACTGAAAGGGCAATAGTCACATGTTAACATTATCACTCTAGCATTATTCTTTTATTCCTTTAAAAGACATTTTCTAGTATGCTCTAAATGCAAGTACAAATTGAAATCAAAGCAATAAGTGTTTTTCATGACTGTTAATGAACATCCTTTAATAATCTTCTTAAATCAAGTTTCCTTATCTTACTTTGAAAAGCAGGATAGGATCAATAAAGCAAGGTAAAAATATCAAAGAGAAGAAGAAAAACCCCAATGACACTTACTTGGTTATTGTTCCATCAATGTCCGATATAATGATTTTATCATTCCAGTTCCACAGATATATTGTTCCCGCACAACGGCAAGTCCCTTGATACTGGGTTGTAATACTAAATACAACATCATTAGGGCCATCTCTGAGCTTCAACTTTGCCTTTAGAATAAATCAAAATAATTGAAAATATAAGTTGCCCTCACTATAAAATTTTTAGAATCATAAATGAGCTATAGAAAATGGCTCGTATATTCTTCCTCATCTATTTTGATTAACTCATCAAAAAGTGAACCATGGTTTAACACTGGCAGAGTTTTGCTGGTAAAGTCTGTTCTGTAATCTGGGTACATGTATTTGTCCATAGCTCCTGTATCTGCTTACAGCAGCACTGACAGTAATCAAAGATACTTGAACCTCTGCTGCTTTAATTCTTGCTATTACAGTAGACTTACAGTACTATCAAATGGAACTCCCAGTTTGCTATAGTATGCAATAGTATTTTCTACTTAGTGGATGCTTTCCTCAAAATTCTTCCCTGATGAAGATCATATATTTAGACAGTAGCAGAACTAACTTGTATGTTAGACTGCAATGAATAAACTGCATACCAATTTAAATGTACATTAGACTGTTAAGATCCCAGGATATCCACACTGCAGACGCCACCAATGTCACTTTTTTGGCAACATCTTAATATAGAAGTTTAATTATAGAACTTTGTAAGAAATTATTTTTTTTAATCCAAACACAGATTCTTAAAAAACACAACAGAAGAAAAAAAGTCCCTGCAGCTGCCCACGCTAGCACTGGAAAATACTTTAGTTCTTTTTTAAATTTTAAATTTCCCCATTCCTTTTTTCTACTGCTAGAAAAGTAACCCAAAGATAATTTTTTACTTCGTGAAATGTACTTATATGTCATTTCTAAAAAGCAGAAAAAGTCCGACTTTTAGAATCGAACAGAGTGGAATTATGAAGCATCCTATGTACAAGAAAGGCATGCCACTTACTATTTGGTCCGAAGATAGTCTAAGTGACTTCTTATAAGATGTAGTGTTCCCATGGGTTGGATGCTCTACTGGGGCAGAATCTATTTTCAGGGATTCCTTCAACTCTTGTGATGCTTCATCACTAGAAGAATCATCTTCTGGAGGTCTAACATGACATCACCAGAATAAATGTAAGCTACAGAAAATCCTTCTTTAAAGGTGTAAAATTCTTATGCAACAGTAATTTCTGCTTATGTTGAGGATTTGCTACTAGCCCGATAGCACAGATTAATAAAGTCCATGGTCTAGAGACTGCCCAGATAAAGGTAGTATATGCTAATAAGAATTAAGTCTTGAGCAATTAATGCATGCTAATATTGGTGGGGCTCTAAATATTACTATTACTAGCTGGCTCCACACGTGATGAGTTTAGTGAAGACACAGTGTCAAGTGATCACTAACACTGTGTTGATGAATTCGGTAAACTGCAGATGAAAAGGGATACTGAATGAGTAATGGTGTTTTGTTTTTAAAAAAGCTGCCACAGCTACTATATAATTTAAACTGTGGGTGATGAGTTAGTGGAGTAGCTCACCTTTTAAGGTTATTCACAGACTTATTTCTCTGCTGATTAGAGATTTCAAGATTAAAAGCAGCATTTAATTTCTCTGAAGTATTCAATCACAATATATTTAGTTTCTTAAATCTTTAAGACACCAACAACACTTACAAGTATCTCTGTAAAATCATGGGAGAATATGAATATGCATAACAAATTATCTAGACTGGGACAATTTTGTGCTAAATACTGCTAGTTTTCAACCACACTCTTGGGCAACTTGTGCACTGTAATTAATGCTATTTTATTGTTTCAATTATTTAGTGTTACAAAAAATTGCACATGGTTCAAATTATTCATACAGTATTAGGCTTTAAAAAAAAATTACAAACAGTATCTCAGAAACAATACTACTATATTTACAGAGTAGTGGCCCATTGATAAAGGTTACCATATATGTCATTGTTGTTCTGTCAGTTATGTTACTATTTAAGAACTAAACACAATAGTATTTAGGAAATAATTGTAGTGTGTTTGTAACTCCTACAATGTTTGCTGCTGTATTATTTTGCTGAATTGTTTGCCAAACACTTCTAGTTTCTCTTCAGTAGCTTAGAGGAAAACGTTTCTTCCCAAGTAAAATCCTACCGAATGCTTTATTAACAAAAAAGAAAAGGAAAAGAGAGGCAAAGGAAAAGAGAGGCAAAGGAAAAGAGAGGCAAAGGAAAAGAGAGGCAAAGGAAAAGAGAGGCAAAGGAAAAGAGAGGCAAAGGAAAAGAGAGGCAAAGGAATAAAAAAAGAGAGGCAAAGGAATAAAAAAAGAGAAAAAAGAAAAAGGCACTATTCAGTCCACAAAACAAGTCTTCAGACAGGAACACACCTACTATTAACTTGCTCTTTTATAGTTGCTGGCAGTTCATTTGCTCTTTGCATCTCAGTTTTCCCCTCTTTTGCCTCTGGTATCTAAAGCAACATGATCATAAAAAACATATTGACATTTTAAGCATTTTAAACTGATCCAAGCAAATTCATAGTTCACACTTAAGCAAATAGCTATCAATATAGTACATAAACTATATTAAGTCTCAGAATTGCTCATTCTGTAAATTATTTAACAAAAGGATGCTTATGAATAAATGATCCATTAAAGCTTTTTATTATCTCAGGAAACAAAACTCTGCATGCCGGAAGTTGAGAACTACTAGTGTAACATGATGAATTTAGCATTGAAGAAGCTGTCAACCTCTAAGCTTATAAAAAGTCACTTTTTTTTGGCGGGGGGAAGTAAATTTGAGGCACATACTCAAGGTTTAGAAAGCTTAATTTAGTCTAAAATGGGGTGTCTCAGCATAGCATCTATTATGCAGCACAGCACCTACTTATTTATTTGTGTATACATTCCTAAAACATACTGCAGTGACGGCAGAGTAGCTCTGACAACTGCTTATGGCTGTGAAGAAAGAATTTTAAGAATATTGTGCAACAGATAAATACAATAAATTTTGTTGAAGCAACTAATAACAGCAAATAAAGATGTGGTATTTAAGACTAAATATACAGAAGCAGCTACAGCTACTGCAACATTGAGTAACCCTCAACTGGCAATCAGCGACACAGCTACATGAGCAGCGTGCTGAGGCACTTCTGACAAATTACATTTTTTTCATTTTTTAACAGCTGGGGGCGGCGGGGGGGAGGTGTCAAAATAAGTCTCAGGTACCTGTTTAGTCATGCTCTCTCTCTTGCGCCAGAACCACCACCTTCCAGACTTCTTTGGCATCTTTTCTTTGACCCAAGACTCAACAGTAGCCTGAAAAATTAGGCATGTTGTTTTTAATTTGTATAGAAAAACAAAATAAAGAGATAATCATGTGTTACTACATACAAAATCTTTTTAAAAAGTATACATATATCTATTTACCTTAGGCAAACTCTTCTGAAACACCTGCAAACTCAGAATCATTGGAGCAGCCAATGCCCAGTTATAATACCTGTTTTAAAACATGTTATTGATAAGATATTACAAAACCTGACTAAAGGTCAATAAATATCAGTGTGCAAACTGCCCTTTTGTTCATGAAAAAATATATTTGCTGCCAACAACTAATACTAAACTTTTCTGGAAGCAGAGTTATTTTAATATATACAATTCAACATCAGTGGTAATTGCTGGAAAAAAAATCTCACTTCAGTTAAAGCTAAATTTCATGCAAATCTTAAGTTCAAAATAATTCTCTCTGAGACTGAGAAACAGATCCATCAAAAACACAAATTGCAATGGAAGCTGAGAAATGCACTCACTTTAAAGGATAAATTTTAAATGAGATGATCTATGACCTAATTACATGATATAGGGAGTTTACCTGTTATAAATCCTTATTACCAAATTAGGATTGTCTATGAGTCCAGGGTTTTCAGCAAATTCATGATAAGTAATAATATGTTCCATGAATTTTTCTGCAATAGAAGCAGATTTTAATTAAAAATTAATTAATATAAAATCCCACGATGTCTGATTAGTTTGTATCTACAAAAATGCTTTCTGTCTTTTCAGAGTCTTTGCTGATCTTGCAACATCACTCAAGATATGCTAATATGGCCTACCTGTCAAGAGTCTTGTGACTGCCTCCTCAGTAACATCGAAAGCCTTGTTACTTCAACAATCACATGAGAATTAAGAAATTAGAAGAGGGAGGATAAGGACGAGGTAGGAACTAATTCAGTTCGCAGGCTGGAAAATGAAAGCCATGCTTGTCTAAGCAAGTTTTCTTTAAAAATTATTATGGCAGGTAAGGGGCCTACATACTACACTAAAAGGGGAGGGGGAAGGATGTTGTCAGCTTTTCAGGTTTGTTTAATCACTGACTACTAATAGTATTTTCATGACTAGTGACTATACAAGTTTGCAGAAATTCATGATTTAGTGTAAGACCCTGGCATGGAAAACAATTTTTTTCAAATCAAATCCAATATTACTACCATGTTACCGAAAGAGCTGTTTTGAGCCTTTATTAATAAGCATTTAAATTTCACTTGATGCATTAGCGACTGGATGACCATTTAAAAAGTAATACTAAAAACGTTGCAGTACATGTTCATGAAGATTATGTGCTTGCAGAAGCTCCCTCAAAAATGCATACAACTTTAATATTAAAATTAACCATAGCATTAAGAGAGAAGAATCAGTTGGTAACAATTTAAAGGTTAACAAACATTGAGGATAGGAAAAGTAGAGCAGGAGAAAAGATAGTCCAACACAGTAGTCAAAGTTTTTTAATTGCTTAAAAAAAACTAAAAAGAAGAAAAATTATCAGGCAATTGGAAAGAATATGAATTGTGAAGATTTATATAGGACTAAGCAAGTAATTGCAGCCAGAAACAAGAGTGGTTGGCCAGATACGCAATATGTAGTGCAAAAATGGAGACAGAAAGCTTCTCAAGACATCAAGTGCTCTTGATTAATTTGTTAAATTCTGTTATCTCTGCTTGGCAAATGCTTGAGAATTTTAGAAAATGAAAGATTATCCATTCCCTTTTCTCAACATGAGCATAATAATAAGCCAAAGCTTTACAAGGTGGAAATCAGAGCATTCAAGCCCCTTCATTTGTTTAGCCGCCTGAGCTTTATTACTGTTTATGTTTTAGTCTCTCACATACCTTTAGAAATCTCTCCATTTTCATTGAGACCTCCACAAAGTGAAAGTGTAACATCAGGCAAGTCCATAGCAGAATCAGACATGCACTCTGTACCACTATCCGCAGCAGCACTTCCTACTGATTGGGGTGACTGGGAACCGGAAAGGGTATCTGACTCTGTCCACTGCCTGAAGCCTGGATCAGAATCACTAAAGAAAAGAAGTCCACATTTTCCATCAGTGTTTCACTTGCCAAAAAAGTATATATTTTAGGTTACAGAACACACTATATGATTACTCAAAAAAAAAAAAAATCATCTTGCAATTGCATTTCTTTTAAGTATGACATCATTTTACAACATAAATTTAAAACCAGACAAACAAAAAACAGACACAAACACACACCCCCAACCCTTCATAATCCTGGCAGATTGACAGTTTCCAGTTCTCCTAACATTCACCTGCAAAAAAATTGGATCTAAATGAGGAAAAGATCCTCTAAATTCTATTTTTGCAGAACAATACTATGCTCCTCTTTCCTCAATCTTTACCAGAAAGCTGTAGAAGAATAAAAGGAAAAAGGACATTGCTTCATGTTTTTACAACACTGTGTGTTTGGAAAAAGTACAATAGAAAAGAAAGGTAGCCTTTTAAATAAAAAAAAAAATCACATTGTCATCTAAGGTTAGAGTTATTAGTTTGATCCCAAATAATGTAATCAGTAAGTACTGAAAAGTTTACAATTTTAGTTTTAACATAAACCAATAGACACTTCTTCCTTATTAAGCTGTATTTTTACAAAGGTCTTCCTAGACAGTTATTCTTTTGGAGAGTATTTTTGGAGTATAAAATGCTTTGATTTAATAAAAAAGCCAAACAAACGAGTGAATTTTGAGACTGAGCTGCCTTGCATGAAGATCTTGTGAGTTTTTTTTGTTGGTCTTTTTTGATATTAAAAGAAAAAGTTGAAAGAGATGTACAGGGCATACAAAAAATAAACTGATGTGTATTTATCTAGAGCTAGCAATATGGCAAAATAAAGTACTGGTGCAAAAGGAGTGTGCAGTTTAAACCCATCCCCCCCCCCTATATTTGCAGAACATACAGGTTCCACAAAGATTAAAACTCTCAGTAATGACCTCCCACGTGATCTTTCCATGTGTTTCTTGTCAAATCAGAAACAGATTTTCACAATGAGATCAGTACTGATTACTCCACAGCCTAGAAACCTGAAGGCCAATTCTTTTTATCAGACCTGGCGCATAAACATCTAAACCACACATGTAATAACTCACATAGTGCAAGTGCAATATAACCCTAGATCTATAGAACCTTAATTCAGAATTACCTTTTGGGAAAGTAGAGTGCTGCAACTTCAGGTTCCAAAGCCTTTAGGTCCTCCAAGTAAATATCATCAGGCCCCTGATGATGACTGCGCTTGTACACCCCTGTTAATTTTAACAATTAAGATTACTAACATGAAGCTATCCAGACACATTAAATACAAATGTAATTGTGGAAGATTCAGACTTACTTGTAGCATTTATAAATCCAAGAGTTTAATTATAGTTTTAGTCAGATAAGACTTTAAATAGCAAAAACTGAAAAGGCACATTTATACTTTTTCCACTATGGCCTCAAATTTGGTATCGCACTGAAGGAAAGAATCAACAGCTTTATTATATACCTTTCTTTTTTGAAGGAGAGTCAATTTTTGCTATTGGCTTTGTTTCCGGTAAAGGGTCTGCCAACGGTCTGGAATGATGATCAGCATCTAATGGCAACGGATCTTGCGGTTCTATGATTGCAGAAGCAAGAGAATCTTTAACATCCATCTGCTTAAGCAGAGGATGAGTTCTTGGCTGAGGTTTCAGTACTGTACACACAGAATCTTTCACATCATCATCATCTTCAACTTCATCAGAGCTGAGTATGACCCTAAAATGAGTTTTCTCTGATGGAGTAATGGTAGCCGTTCTGGGATGCTCCAGTTTCTCTTTCTTGCTTATCTGAAAAACAAAACTCTAATCAATCCTTTCACTTCACGTTTGTTTTTAAACATTAAACTTGTACTCATGGTACAAGTCCTGGTCACAAGTAAACTGGCTAAGAATTTAAACGTGTTTTATGTTGCTAAAATACATGTCCCACCTTATTAGCAAAGCTCCCTGCAACAGAAGCTTCATACTAGCTTATTTACAAGTTCAGTAAAGAAACTGCCATACAGGAAGTGCTGACTTGACCAAACCATGGCAAGAAAAAAGCATAAATGTGGATGTACCAGGGCTTCTGTCACCAGCTGACATGTTATATAACAAATTTACTCCATCAAGGCTACAATTCCTCTGGAATAAACTAGAACTTAGCCTAAAATAAAGGAAATTAATTTCTAAAGTCGCTTTCTTCAGTTTCTAACTAAAAATTCAAACATTTCAGATTTTTACTGCTAGGTTTTCTGGAATTACTTTGCTGACCAGCTTTTGAACTCAACAAATTCGACTATCTGCCAGCCACAAGGGGGTGCTACTTTCCTATTTCAGCTGAATTATTCTGAAGAACAGCAGCAGATTTCCAATCTTCTCTTAGGGGACACGTTTAGGTATGCCAAAAGTCAGTTCACAAAGTTAGAGACAATAAATAAATTTACCTTGGTTGATTCTGGGAATCCTCCCCAGGTCCATTCCATGTGAGATTCAGATCTGAGCAAGCTCTCAGCCGGTTTAACTTCTAGTTCTGAATCACTTTTAGGGCAGACTGGCTCAGAGAAAGGGCTAGCAAATCAACAAGAACAAAAAAAAAAAAAAAAAGAAAAGAGAAAAAGAAGGCTACAGTGTTAAAATGCATTTGTTGTGCAGCTACTGTTGGTAGAGTTTTCTACAGCTTAACAGAGCTTCAATTATTCAGCAACATGGCAAGAAGCCCAGCAGGGTTTTCAGACAGTGAGAAATTAGGTTAAAACCAAAATCACATTAAAGGACTTACACAGCGATCACCCTAAACAGATTCCTCCACTATCTGCAGTGTAGGTATAGCTCTCCCCTCAGCCCACGTTCCATTTTTCAAACAAAACAAAAAAGTTTATCTAAAAGTAAGACAGAAATTAGCTTTAAGTTCCTTTCCTCTGTAAAAATACAGCATTTAAGCTTGCTATACCAAGACTTGAGTAATAAAAGTCCTGCAAATCTAACTCACAAATGCACGAAAACAACACCAATTCTCGATGTGGGGAAAACAACATTAACAAGATACGTTAGAAGAGGGAAGGGAGATTACTTGAAAACTTCCTTCAGGTGTGTTTGGACTACATGACTTTTTAAAGTTCCATCCTATCTTTCCTACAGTGGTTATTATCCATAAAACAGAAACAGACCTCTGGAATTTACTTTAGCCAAGACTACTTTTAAGCCAGAAGAACTCACTCTACAAAATGCTAGAAAGGTGTGATTTCAAAATCATTTTGCTCTTATGATCTTAGGGAGGAAAGGAAACAGAAGAGGTTGTTTTGAAGTAGCATTCAGTGGTGGGACAGGTCCAAGTCTAGCCTTTCTTGAACAGGGCAATTATATTGCATATTAGAGAAATGCTGCTCTTTTTACACTTTGACATTCATAGAGTATTTTGATTTGGTAGTGTTTTTTTTTTTTTTTCTTTTAAATATATATATAAACTGCAATATTTGAATTTGAATTGTAGGGACCAGAACTGGACACAGCACTCCAGGTGTGGCCTGACCAGCACTGAGTAGAGTGGGATGATCACATCTCTATCTCTGCTAGTAATGCCCCTGCAGATGCAGCCCAGGATCCGATTTGCCTTCATTGTTGCAGCAGCACACTGCTGACTCCTGTTCAGCTTGTTGTCCACCAGGACCCCCAGGTCCCTTTCAGCAAGGCTGCTCCCTAGCCACACAGATCTGAGCCTGTACTGGACTCTTGGTTATGTCGTCCCAGGTGCAGGACTTCGCACTTGTCTTTGCACTTGTTGCACCAGGAGAGATTTCATCTTGATCTAAGAAAAATCTTTTACAGTAAGAATAGTCATTCACTGGAACAACATTCCCAGGGATGCGTCCCCCATCACAAGAGGTTTTCAAATTGTGACTGGACAGGGCGCTAGATTAATCCCATCTAGTCTCCCTTTTCCATGAATGGTTGGACCAGATGATCTTTTGAGGTCCCTTCATCCAGGGATACAAAAAAGCAAACCACTTAGAGGTTTCCCCCCTCAGTTCTCCTTTAACAATTTCCTACAGAAATTACATTTTCTGTACTGTTAGAAGGGCTTAGTTAAAGTAACACACCAATGAAAATACATGTACATATTTCATCTAGTCTCCCTTTTCCATGAATGGTTGGACCAGATGATCTTTTGAGGTCCCTTCATCCAGGGATACAAAAAAGCAAACCACTTAGAGGTTTCCCCCCTCAGTTCTCCTTTAACAATTTCCTACAGAAATTACATTTTCTGTACTGTTAGAAGGGCTTAGTTAAAGTAACACACCAATGAAAATACATGTACATATTTCTGGAGGAATGGAATATGAACTCATTTTACCTACATGCCCAAATAATTTGTTCCGCCTATATCACAAGTCAACTGGAAGCCATGCAGACATATTAACCTGTTTCTAAGCCTAATTCTTAATATTCAGCAGTACTTGCAAAAGACTGAATATTTCAGGGCTTTGAGAACCTAAGCCTGTTCCACCTCCCTCAAAGTTTAAGTTTTCCATTATCATTCTCAGGGAGAAGTCTTTAGTCAAAAGGCCCATGCTTGTAATAGTGATCTTCTAGTCATGCTAACGTTGCTTGTTAAAACAGGAAGACCATTGATGGTATCAGGTATCAAACGGTTAATGGTTATGCTTTTTGGTTTTATTCTAGTAAGTAGGACAAACAGAAGTGTCCTCATTGAAAAGACTTAGGCTACTATCTTCCCTTAGCTCCCTGCAAGGGTTCTGAAGAGCAAGATGACCAACCTCAACTAGAAGACAGTTAGCTTTTCCAGGTCTCCAAAAGGGAGGTTATTAAAACCTCCCACTTCTCTCTCACTGTACAATGGCTACATTATAGAATCTTTCTTTGGTGGCTTAGGAGAAACAATTTCATGCAAAATTTCTCTTCTCCTAGATGGCTCATGCGAGAGAGAATCCCCCCCCCAACTCCCCTCCAAAGAGGGAAAGGAAAATTGTCAATTTCTCTGTTACACTGCAATCTGTACTGGAGAGCTTTTTGTTTAAAAAAAAAAAAAAAAAAATTATAAATAGCCTAGGTATCTCACATGATGCACAAACAAGTTGTTTGAGCAGACTATCCTCTAAATAAGTAAACAAGAAGAGAGGCATGAATCTGAATAGTATCTCCCAGATATAGCCTGCTAGTCTATGTTAGCTGGAGTTTTATAAACTGAAAAGGACTATCAGCCTCTATACTACAATTACCTAGGTGATATAATCCATACAACACCGGGTCAATTCTCAGGGTCAAACACTGTGACCGCTTTTCAGTCACAAACCACAAACCTTTGGGGAACATTTGAAGACTACATTTCATCAAGTACAATTGAGGATGTGGTTGCCAGCCCAAAACATAAAAAGGAATGATAATGGCATTTCCTGTCCAACTGCTTCTGTTCATTAACAAGCTATGCACTGGGGGAATTAGCAGGCACCAAGCATGGTGTGGTACATTCAGACGCTAAGGCCACAGCCCTGGAAACACCTGAAGCAGAGAGATTATATGCACTTCAAAAAGTATTTTATGAAGCTCTCTCTATTCTGCACTACCATCTGTTGATACAGAAGAACAGGCACCTGTGCACTGAGCAGCAGCACCAAGCATGCAATAACAAGTATCACACAAGACTGACCAGTAATCCTCACTGACACTGAATATCTGCTATGAGGTAGAGTCCTCAGTCGAACTGAAAAGCAGTAAAACTAAACACTCACCAAAGAGTTAAAATGAATCAAGATACTGCTCAGCATGCTATGCGCTATATATATGCCCTTCCCTATGCCCAATGTTCAGGAAAAGTATGAAATTTACCTCTACCACATATGGACAGAATGCTTTCTTATGCAAATAGAGATTGATGTTAGAATGGTGAAATCCAAAGGGTGAGCCTTGAAAAATCTAGAAACTGAATGCAAGAGGAATGTAATAGCATGAACATCAGAAACTGAAGAGCTTGAACGTACAAACAGAAGTGCCCTAGCCACTGTAACCGAAAACTGACTGGCGAGCTGTATTATGTCATTGTTAAGAATCCACAATCAACTGATACTATTTCTGGTATCTCTGGGTTAGTATTCTAGTAACTAGCAAATCCTCTGTTCTGAAATGGAATATGATTTAAGTTGAGGACGTAGCTTTACCTCGAGTAGTTTGCATTATTTCACCTTCCACTATTCTAACTTACATACTCAACACTTCTGCTTTATGGCATATCAAGTGTTGCTTATGCTAAGGTGAATCATCAGGAACATATTCGTTTTCCATACCCTTATTAGTAATCTTATTAACTGTATTTTACTAATCTTATTAACTGTATTTTCTTTTTTTAATAGTGAATTTTAGTAAGAAATTTTTTTTTCACTTGAGGGGAAAAAAAAGAAAAAACAACCCACAAATTTTGTTTAATACACAGAGTAGAGAGGAAAGTTCTCAAAGTTCCAAGTGAGTATCAAATGCTGCATTTGATATCACAAGTTAGGCACGTTTGATAGTTTTACAGATCAGGGGAAAAAATTAATTAAAAGGCATATTAATTTTTTTTGTAATTACTCATCATTATACATATGATGACATTACAAAGTTACTTACTTCTCCAGAGGGGACCAGTCTCCATCAGATAAGGGGTAATGATCCTTCGAGTGATAAATCAAAGATTCTTTTTGTTCTTCACCCTTTGGTGATGAATTTGAGGATCCTCTGTGGAGATACATGGGACATTAAGTCAGCTATAAGAAATTGCATTACTAATTCAGTTAGAAAAGTTACTTATATGTTATTAAAAATCCAAGATCAAAAGAAAAAAGTGTATAGCTTAAAGAATTAATTGTTTGCAACACACCTTTATATAACTTAAAATGTATATAAAAACTATTATTAATACTTGAAAATACTGCAAGTTTAAAAATCTACTACTCTTGACACATAGTAAGTTAATATTGAAGAAGTCACAAGAGCATAAATGGTATCACTCTGTACAGCCAGCTAATATTATCAAAACCCAATGATGAACAAAGATTTACATATAACCTTTACTACGTAAGCCTTAGAAACACTGAAAAAGTTAGATAGAAAAGATAGTTTTGACAATGCACTTTAAGACTGCACATTTCACAAATTAAAATCAGTAAGAAAACAGGGGTAGGTACTAACCTCACAATTTACCCAAGAGTTTACAAATTAACATAAACTACAACAAGTAGCTATAATACTGCACTTCTCTGAACAGTGGGGTTTGTTTTGCACTGGGAAGTCTACTCAATATCTATAACAAAAAAAAAAACCACCAACCAACAGTAAGACCCATTCAGCAGACATGCATTGTATTTTACACAGAAGTCCCTTTTAAATATTTCCAACATAAGTACTTCAGATCTTTTTACAGCTTTCTGAATTTAATTGAATAAATAGCTACTCTCAGGATATAACTGACTTGTTTTGAGGCTAGATCAAGGGCATCATGGCTACACAGTGGATAGAATACACGATAGATAAGCCTGGAATTTGAGTGGAAAATGCAAAACAAATTACTTTAAGCCATTATTATGAAAGAAAAAAGTATTTTTGTTCCATTAGCAGCACAGTTGAACTGGTCTTCTTTTGGAATGCTAACAGTAATTTCTCTTATGGATGGAGAAAAGAAAAGATTTTAACATTATCTACTAAAACACAAATATTTAGAATTTACACGCTTACTCAATACAGCCTATTAGACCTTAAGCAGTTAGAGTGATCTACCTCATTTGCACAAGTCTTTCATTTGGAAGACAGTTTAGACTATGTTAAATACTGAACCCTAAAAATGTCTTACTAACTCCACTTCTTATTCAGAAGTATTATTATTATGAAACTTGATGATGATGGCTTGACTTGAGATGAGCTACAGAAACTGTACATCCTTTGTATTCATAAACCAAGCTAACTGTGATAGAAATATGTTTCATACTATCTTTGTCTGTATCCAGTGCTAAGTATCTCCAAAAGATTAAAAAGGTATTATTGAACAATTAAGTAAACACACACACAAAAAAATATTACAGAGAGTTCCTCAATATTATGACTTCAGAGGGGGGCAAGACGACACACAGGTGGTGCTGAACAGATTTTATTCACTGGGAATTTGTGACCAAATGAGTTCACATGAAGCATCAAAAAAATCAAATTTCATCCATAAGTGGATAAATTTGAAGGTTAAAAATCCAAATGCAGTCAAAGATTATTGAAAGTAAGAGGGGAAAATCAGTATGCATCAACCTATAGAATCATAGAATCGTTTAGGTTGGAAAAGACTTAGTGCTTTAAGATCTTGCTTTTCTTAAACTGGAAAAGAAGGAAAAAAGGAAAAATCTCAAACCAAACAAAATGCCAATTCCCAGACTTAAACAGAGCAGTGAATATCTAAATGACAGTTCATTTACATAAATATGACAGTGAAAAAATAAGGCAAATGAACTAAGAAAGCCACAGACATTCTAGAAAACACTTTAAAATCTAAATTCTGTTTGTTGTGTTTTATTGGTCATAGGTGTGATAACAGTTAGATTCATGTTTTCCTGTTGCACTAACCTTTTTGGCTGGTACTTATTAAATTTGAAACTCCCTTGAAGACCCATACTGAAGGAGTTTTTCAGTTATACTTTATTCTCTTATACCAAAACATTCTTCCAATTCCCAGACCAGATCTTGAATTTATTCAGACAGTACTACATTTAACAGTAACACTGTCCAATAAAGCATCTAGCTTTGTCTAAAAATTAAGTCCACTTCTTTTGTTAAGCAGCCTAAGAAACTTCCACATAAAGCTGATGAGTAGGCCTTTCCTGGATTTTAAGCATTTATATGCTTCATAGCTTTCTTCTATTACTATAATCTTTCCTATTACTCATATAAGCTTCTTCAGCTTATTAGTATGTGCTACCACTTTACCGCAAGCTCCAATTTACTAATAGTTTATCCACTTTAAAATACAGGACTGATTTTTTCTTCCCCTTCCTTTATGACTAGATACATGTAAAGAATTCTCTTTACTAATGTGAAGGAGCATTCATTTATGTAGTTTTCAGTTACCAAAGTAAAGTCCAGGTTCCAGAGAAGTCAAATTCAGATGTGGTTACTACAGGCATTCCACACTGCAGTTTATGTAGAGCTTACCGAACACACCAGAAGACCATTCTGCCTCAGAGAAATTACACTGAAACTTCTTCTCAGTCACACAACAGATCATGACAACACTTCTTTACCAGAATGGGCTTAATTGGATTTCATGTTCATAACAAAATGGCCAAACTTGAAGGATTCTGTAAATATGTGGAAGATAATGGTTTGGAGTTTTGTTTGTTTGTTTGAGGAAAAGCCTACCCAGAGCCTACTGAAACTTACGCATTACTTGCATAGAAGAAAGGTAACAAGTCACCTTTTAAATGTTCAGTGATAACACTGAAAGCAGTCAGCAAGTATCTGATAGTTTACCTTAGGGGTTGAACGCTTTTTTCATCATCTGAGCTTATTTCCATTTCAAAAATCTCTTCCGTCCCAGTAGAAGAGATCTGATCTTCCTTCCTGATATCTTGTTTGTATTTCTTTCTTCTTCTTTTTTTCTTTTTCACAGAACCTGGGGTGAATATAGTCTCTGTTTCCAGAGAGTGTGGAATTTCTGAGTTTACACATGTCCTCTCATTTTCACCTGATTTCAAATGATTGCCAGTGTCTTTAAAAAACTGGTCTTCAGTGGGTATTGGAGATGTTGCCAAATATGCAGGAACTTTTTCCTAAGCAAAAAAAAGAAAATAAAGAACAGACTAATTTTTTTACTTTGTTTTGGGCATACAGGATAGTTGCCGGCTACAAGATTAATCCTTGCATCTATATTTAGACACAAAACCATACAATACCCCAGTGGTATGAAGCTGATATCCAGAAAGGAACCAAGTTCACTACAGGGATTACAAAAGTTCAGAAAAATGAATGTTAGTATTCTTACAGTTTCAGACATAAACAATTGATTTTGCCAGCAGAACAAATACTCAGTCAGTGGAATGTTTTTGAAATTATCTGCCCTTGAGCACACCAGTTCTATCCACACTTAGTAGATGTGTTAATAAAAATGGTTAATTAAATCCACTGCTGTCTATTTACTTTGGAACAGATTCATAGAAAGGTGTAGGTTGGAAGGGACATCTGGAGATCATCTGGTCCAATCTTCTGTTGAAAATAGGGCCTCAGGTTAGGTTATCGATGGCCTTGTCAAGCCAAAGGTTGATTATTTCCAGTGAGAGAGAGTCTACCACTTCTCTAGGCAACCTATTCCTGTGTTACATTGTTCTCACAGTGAAGGATTTTTCTTATATCCAGTTGGAATTTCCCCCTTGCGCCCTTTGCCCCTTGTCTTATCACCAGGCATCCTTGTGAAGAGAGTGTCTCCGTCTGCTCTATAACTACCTTGTAGGTATTGCAAGACTGTGGTTAGATCCCCCTGAGCCTTCTCTTCTCTAGGCTGAACACAGCCAATTCCAGCAACCTTCCTTCCTATTTCAACTTCTCCAACCCTCTGATCATCCCTCCACAGAACTCCGTCCAATTTTCCATGTCTCTCCTGAACTGGGGAACCAGAACTTGGTAGACCAGAATTGTGTTCCAGGTTCGGCCTAACATATACTAGGTTGAGTGGGACAATCCCACATCCCTCCATCTGCTGGCTGTACTCCTGCTGATGCAGCCTAGGACACCTTTGCCTTCACTGTGGCCAGGGCATACTGCTGGCCTTTACAGCAGAGATGCATTTCATCCAGTCAGACCCCAGCCTGTACTGCTGTGTGGGATTCTTCCAACCCAGATGCAAGACTTCACATGTATCTTGGTTAAACCTTGTGCAAATCTTGTTGGTCCAGTCTCCCTGCCTGCCAAGTTGGCTCTATATGGTGGCTCTTTTTCTGGCCTGTTTACCTCTCCTCCCAGTTCAGTGTTACCCACAAAATTGTGAAGGTACATTCAGTGTTGTCATCCATGTCAGATACTATTTATGTAAAGTATCTTTCAAAACGAAAAACTCAACTATAATTTACTCACATTAAAACTAACAAACAAACAACTCTCAATTAATTACAACTCACTGCCCTTTAAAGGAACAATTCAAATGAAGGAAAAGCTTTACCAATGGACTGCCTGGGGTTATTTACATCATAACAAGAAACTTAAAGATACTGACACCTAGACTGAAAGAACACCCTGGGAGTGGACAAAGTGGAACAACAGTAAAAGAGAATGGAATTTGCATAGCAAGGAGAAAGAGAAAAAGTTATGGAGCTTCATATTAAGAATAGAACTAATTACAACATGCCTGTTATTTTACAGGACTCTATGCAGAAGATTAGTCAGAAACTACACTGTGATCAGAAACAGCCAGAACACCGAAACTACTTTTGATGTGTTCAAAGTCTGAACTGCTATTATTTAATATTAAATTCAAACTTTCCATCGAGTTAAGAGTTACAGACCAAGTTTTGTTCCACTGGTTGTAAAGTAGAGAGAAGTGGAGAAAGGAGAACAAAATACAGCCTTATACACACACACACAGATTTTGCATTGTGAAAAACCTCCAAATAAAATAGCACCTAAAATAAAGTTAATATTCTATACAACGTGATAAATAATCCAGAATACCAAGACAAAATTAAAAAAAAAAAAAGAGGAAAAGTTAAAAGAAAACTGGCTGAAAAATGGTGCCTGAAAGTTACATTATAATAGTCCTGATTTACGTGAATTGAGGCACGTGGTGTTACTTCTGAATGTCATGATGTGAAAACAAAGACTGACCACTTGAAAGAACCTTTCTGAATCCATCGAGAACTCGATGAGAGCTTTATCATTTATACATTAAGCATAGCTTCAAGAGGTGACCACAAGGACACATTGATCAGTAGCAGAAATACTGAGAAAAAAAATGTCTAAAAGCACTAAAAACAACTCAGTCATCTACTTTGTAGCTAACTCAATCTATAGTTTCGGCATGAACTACCAGCTTTCCAGAACACATTATACACAGGTAAGGCACTCTTCTTATAAATTAAAATATACTAAGCAGGCGCAATAAAACCTTTAAAACATTGTACTGGGGACAAAGGTAATGGTTATAACCCTTGCTTTCTGAAAGTCTTAAGACTGATCAGTTCCCATCAATGGCTGACACAGACTACATCTATAAAAAACTGCTTTCAGTTTTGATTTTAATCATGGTGTATGCTAAAACAGAACCCAACCTTCCTTTCTCTTAAATGTTATGAATCTCTACCCCAAGTTATCATTTAGGGTCTTAATGCTTATTTTCTCCTTCCACTTCAAATTATATTTAACTGCTTTCAAAATGAGACCTTCCTCTGATCCCTCACAATAAACAAGTAGCGCCCTAAACTAAAAAGTGGATCAAGCTCATTTCCTTTAAAGACTCAAATTTGTAATAACAACAGGAAATTAACACCTCATCTTTTACTTCACAGAGACAAAATTTTTTTCTCTCTCCTCTAATTGACTATTTTCATTAAACCTTTTGGAACTTTGTATTTAGAACTTCTTTCTTCTGTCTTGGCTGAAAAATGCCAACAGATTCCAAAGTGATCAAAACCGAAGCTCAGGACTGACAATATTGTGATTACATAGGTCCCATATCCTTAGGAAATCAGACTAAAAATCAACAATTATTCCTGTTTTTCAGAGGCTCATTAGCTTCCAGCTGCAATAGGTTTTTGGGAAATTAATTACTGTATTATAATACAAGAAGAATTCTCAAGTCCAAGAAGTTACTGTTAACTGGTGAAAGTTTCATAGATAAAATTGTGAAAAACTGTGCTAAAAATTATAAGGCAAATTAAAAATATGCCAAAATAGACCACCTTTATTAGTAGAGAGGTCAGTAGCACAAGCTGTAAGAACTTAAGGCAAAAATTACTATAAGGCACTGCCATCTGTATAACTGCAGTCAAAAAGAATGAATATACTAAAACAAAGTAAAAAAAAGCCAACAAATCTTTCAAATAATGCTCTAATTAAAAAAAAAAAAAAAGAATTAGTTTCTTTATTATCACCGGTAGCAGAATTGTACCAAGCACCAAGCATCTTGGCAGCATATGAAAGTGATGTTAAGATTCAGTCACAGAAAATCTAGCTTTCATAAAAGTTACAATATTGACAACACTATATTGAGCATTTTTAAACACATTACTCTGTTAATACTGCATTGTAGCCATCGTGAAACACAAAGCCCTTACATTTTCCTCTTCAGTTTCTTGTACAAAGAAAGCTTCTCCATTGTCACCCAGTTTCATATGAAGATCAACAGCATCGCCATTAATTTCTATATCAATCTGTGGGAAGAGACAATTTAATGTAAATAATTCATCATAGGGGAAAGCACTGACCTCAAGGCCCACTGCTCTGAGAGTAAACTTTGTTCCATTGCATAATCACGTCTCTTTCTCCTCCCTCTGCTTTTTGAAAGAAGTCTGTTATAATAATGGTCTTTATTTTGTTAACCTGCAAAATGCATCATGCTCATAACACCTACAAGAAAAATTGGAAAAAAAAAAAATCTCAAGACTGAACCTTGTTCAACTAATTTGGAGAGCTAGAAGTATAAATAATAATCATTGATCTAATCTTTATTTCCTGGAAGAATGATTGAGACTGTTCACGTTCATATGTTTAAAGCTCAACCTGAACTGGGGCCTGGTATGAATCCGAGTCCTGAATACCAAAAGTTCAAGATGACAAACTGGAAGCCTCCAGGAGGCAGGCTTTGTTTCAAAGGGATAGAGATTTGCCACGATTATTTCTGCAACTCAGTTAACGTTGTTTCAGATTTTCCTGCTCAGGACTTTACAGGGATACGACATAGGACCACAACCCTTCTGCAACCATAGTGCTTTCATCAGAGGAAGAATGTTTTTATTCTCATAAAAAGGTACTTTAACTTAGATTACATTGCACAGGAGGGAGAGATTACCCTTCCCCACATGTATGAAATAATGTTATAATAGAGAAAAAACCAAATGTCTTTCTAAAACCAAGCTAAAACTATTTTACTTCCTCCTCTTTGCGAAATCTTGGGCATCCAGTTAAGTTCCTTTCCAAATTTTTCCAAACAAAATGTGTTCAATATTCAGATAAAATTACCTTATTTTTCAGTAAATCTGCTTATCTAATGGTATCTGTATATCTGCATTTAGCCTAGCTAATTAAAAATAATTTAATACATGTCGGACAGAAACACAATGGACTTGCCTTACTGCAGAAAATGCCAATGGCATTTCAGGTTATATATAGACACTTTTGTCAAAAGGAGACCAAGTTAAATTCTGTAATTGCTATGAGATATCCAAGACGTACATTACTCAAGTTCTAGTTTCCTGCCAATACAAAAGAAAAAATTGCACCCCGAGTCATACAGCTAGTATTGTGATATGAATACTCATATTCATAGTTAGTTATCGTGATATGAAATGGCCAGTCAAAAAGGAAAGAGAACTAATTTTAAGATTAGCACATGGACTGCCAAGAAAAAAAACCAAAACACCATAGTGCTAAGAAAGACAGTATCCATGTATCCTAATCCACTCCGTTATTCGCCCATTTATGAGAATAAAACCATTAGCCAAGGAATCCCAATCATAGGAGATGATAAATTACAGGTAGGTAACCAAACATGCATGGGGACTATACCCAAATCCTTAAGATAACAGCTTTTCTTTTTCCCCACAAGAACTGAATGGTTTTGATCTGAAAATTGTATTTATTTCACTACTGAACACAGTTTATTCTTAAAATATTTTCTTGAATTTCCAATTAAGTAACATGAGTCTTCTACATACAGCAGGTATCAAGAGTAGATGTTTCTACTATTCAACCGCTTTTTAGAGGTACCCTGAAACTGAAATCCTCCCAAATTTGGTTCAGCTTCTCAGAAGTGTAAAGACATTTAGCAAGCTCAAGTTTCAAATCACTCCTGTTGTAAGTGCATCTCACTTGCTTAGACATTAGAAAAAGTATAGCTATACGACCTCTCTTGTACCTTGCTGAAAAACTGTAATGTAATCTGTTGCGGTATTGTTAAGGAAAATCAACTTTTTGTCAGCAGCATGCTCCTTCAGAAAAACACTACCAAGTGGGAAATCAAAACAAAAAAATGAAACAAGAAAACTGCTGCTAGCCTGTGTTACTATGATAAACTTACAACTTTAATGCATGTAACTCCCAGTATGGACCATTAACAAAAAAAAAAATGCCCTAATATAACTGCTCTTTTAATTGCACTTTATTCTCGTTTTTCAACCACAATATAAAGACAGGGGTAGTTTCCTGCAGTGTCCTTTCACTTCTTAGAAAAGCAGCATGTAATCCTGAGGTTTTATGATCTGTTTGAATCAATCCATCCTTTGGCAGCACACCCACAGGCAATACTGCCATACACAGTACTCCCCTACCAACAGTAATATAAAGTTGTCCCCACAATAGGTCCATTTTTCGGTCAAATTTACAACCCAATCCAACTCACTCCCTAGGCACGATTATAAAGCCTATGGAAAGGGGATGGCAGGACAATCTGCTCGGGTAGCACCACAGTCTCAGACTGGCTGGACAGGGAATTGTACCAGATCCTCTTTCAAATAGGCCCACATAGGAATGAAGCTTCAGCCCCAGTTTTTATTTGCTTGTGGATATTAATAACTGCATTTTCTACTGCTTATCAGCCTTGAACAGAGCTAACAAGGAGTAATATTTATGATAGGTCACCACCCTTAAGACATGCTCTATTTGTCCTCCAGACATTCCAAAAATAGTTGCTTGCAGCATCAGGGATCAGTTAAATGGCATTAAGCATTTCTAAGCCATGTAAATATTTCAAGACTGTGAAGTCTATATGTTTGTATTATTCTTTTTGCATAGCTCAAGAGCTGTCAAAGCTTTCCTTTCACAGTTATTTTTTTTGCAGACTCCTTAGATTACCACAGGAGGTTCTGTTTTGCATTCCAAAACTATCACTTTGTACACAGCATATATGAGAAACTGCTCTGTACTGAATCAGCCTGCTAACTGGGTATGTGGCGGGTTGGGGAAGGAAGGAAGGAAGGAAGAGGGGAAAAAAGGGAATGCATTGGTATTCAAAACTTTGTTTTGGCCCACTTTCTGAACTTACCACTTTTTCTTTAGAGCGCAATACACCAAGCTTCCCAAATCGGACATGAAAAGGAGAACACTGGTATGTACCATCCTGTTGCCGGACCACAATGACATCAATGCATCCAGAAAGGGTTGCCTGATTAATGCCTTTGTACAGCTCCTTCACAGTAACCAGGACTTGTCCTGCAAGTTGTCCTACGTAGTTCATAGTCTGAGACTAAGGGAGAGGAAGAAAAAAAAGAGTAAATAAATTTTAAAAAAGTAAAAAGTTTTTTAAAATAAATTTTTTAAAAACATCTAAATAGATGTGCAATGTCATTTATCAATTACTCTGATTATTGTAACAAGCTTTACACAAATGCCTTGAAGAGTCAACAGAATTTTGAGCCAATTCTTACATTACTAAGTCTCCAGAGTTATAAAACCTCTTCTTAAGAGTTTATCAACTTGAATCTATGATTATTTAAATTTTTAAAGTAAATTTTTTAGCATGCCATTTTTAAACCCCAAAGCCTAGATTCACGTGATGCTTAATTACTCAGAAAAGCTAAAAAGACAAACTCATTCTCTGAAGACTGCCCATTTAATACAACTGATCCTCTATTGAAAATGGAGATAACTGTACATAACGATGCAAAAAAAATCTTAAAAGTCAGGAAAAGTTATGTAGAGCGTACTACATGTAACTCTTCCTTTACAGCTCTGTATTTTAAAAATGGCTGAGTCACCTTAAAGAAAGTATTAAAAGATCTAATGGGAGACAGAGGAGTTTGAGAATGACTGTGGAGAAAACAAATATGGAAGAAATCCAGTTTTCTTCCTATATAAGGAAAGCACACCACCAGTGAATTTATTTGCCATGAAACAAGCACTAAAACCTCTTGCAACATAAAAATCATGAGCTTGTAAAAACCTTTCTTGAAAAGCACTGCCATCAACCTTCAGAAGTTAAAACTGAAACGAGCAAGACTTCCACCTGTGGTAGGTGATGCCAGATACTCAAAGTTACTGAGACTCTCCCATTAAATTTTGATTAAATAAAACTACAGTAAATATCATCTAGACTTACAACATATACTTCTCTAAACAGCTTAATGAAGCTTGTAGGTACCTATATTTAAAACAGCTGCTGAAGTAAAGTTTGCTCTGTGAAAACAGAGTGAACCTAGCAACATGACCTTGTCCTGAACACACTTCTCATCCACAAGCAGATGACTTACCAGCTAAAAACCATTTTTCCACAGAAATTACACCTAAACATTAAATTCCAAATACTACATTTTCGTATGTGAAAAGCATGTCTTAACCAAGTTTACACACTCATGCAATATATTAACTGTATAGAGTTATCTTACCCACTAACTACTTTCCACAGGTTTCACAAAATTTCAGTCAAGAGAAAACAAATCTTTTACAGTTTTTTGGGGTTGTTCATACTCCTGACATGAGAAAATTGAAAAAGAACATTAGGTACTCTAGGTGAAGGAATCTTACTAATTGAGAGTGGGGAGTTCAGGACAGAATACAAGGAAAGGAAGATGCACACATTGAGAAAATTATGCTATAGTCAAAGACAAATGAAGAACACATAGAATCACTTATCAAACATTGTCTAATCCATTAAAAATACTTAACTGAATGAATGAATTTTGAATGACTGCAAGTCTTTCAGACTAAGAATACAATGTGAACTATGATTGCCAATAAGTCATGAAGTCCAAAGATTTCTCACAACATCTAAGCTTTAATAAAAAGAGGAGGGAAAACCGTGAAGTGTTCTAATGGAATTCTAAGTGCAACCCTCCCTCATTCTGCCGTCTCCCATGTCCCACCCAAAAGACTGCTACAAGCTCATTTCAAATATATCCAAGCAATTGCATGCCTCTGAAGTTAAGGGTATTATTTGGGAGAACAAAGAGCCACTGCAAACAGACAAAACACACAACACTGAACACATAACGGGGCTTAAATTGTAAAAATTCTATTTTGGGATAATATTTCTCAAGAAAAGTCTAAGTGAATTTCTTTGTCTATTTGCTAATCTATTTTTATTAGCCTCTGAACAAGGTTTAGGATTTTTCTCAATGCCTCTAAACAAAGTCGTATTGCACTACAAGAGTTCTTCCTCCTGATACTGCTTTCATTATCTAGGTAATTAATCAATTATTTCTGTTCTGAGCCTTCAAAGCCTTCTTACAGTAAAGCAGGGTACCTTGCATTCATTCAAAAGGAAGCTACTTTTGTAGCATCTAACAGTACCAATAGAACTGTAAACATGCAAGAAATCTAAAACTACTTTCACAGACTTACAGCAGCTGCAGAAGTATTTTTCTCCATCTCAGGCTTCTCAAGCGTAACATACATTACCTAATCATATTTAGATTTTTAAAAAAAATTCCTTCCTCTCCACAAGACTTAAGAAGGAAAATGGGGGTTTTCCAATACAGATTTAAAACTGTTTTGAAATTATCCACAGAATTACTATGCTAGGTAACATGCTAGAGAATTTTCTCCCGTAGCTTTTGTACAATATGGTTGATGAAGACAAAAAGAACTAATGAGATTAGCAGAATGGACTCCCTATCAACATTAGTGATTAATAAAATTCAGTTTCATCTCTAAGTAGTTTCAAGTACAACTATAAAATTGACTGCTTGCTAATGAAATAATCATAGAATCATAGAATCATT